TAAACCTACATGTATGTACAAGTTAGCGTATGAAAGGCCGCAATTGTGCTTTAATGGTTTGTAGTTCAACTGTGTGATCACTTTCGGTTCGTTGTTATTCACAGGTAACTATGGATATCCTCCGGGCAAGGCGGCATCAGCTGATGAAACCAAAAGAATTCTCGGCAGCAACTCGCCAACCAAACAAGTACTACAGGATTGCGCCGTCTGATACTCAGTCCCTCCCGCGGTCATCATTTTCAAGGTTTGGACGGACAAGGGAACAAACTATTGCTAGGGACAACCAAAGCGCATGCTATATCAAAACCAATCTCACAAGAATCGGTCGGTCTCTTGAGCATTTACAAACAAACTTTGAGGAAGAACAAGCAGAGATATCTCGAGAATTAGAGAAAAAGCTAACCCATGTGAGTTCGTCCATCGGAGCCAGTATTAATGACATCCGAGATAGACTCATCACTCTGACGTCATTACTAGGAAGGAATGACATTAGTCAGGACTCCGGTCTCACCGAGTCTATATCTAAGAGTGAAAATAGTCTCGACCAAACAGACGACGGATATTTGCCGTCCCAGTCACTGTCTCCCAATCTGCAGTCTCCATTTAGTCCGAGCTTAAAATCGGGGAGTTTGGACCACGTCAACATCCGATCATTTCCCGAAAAGACTGAAGTATTCGATTTCCCTACTAGAACCAAACACACTTCACGATCTAATAGTCTCGGTCACGTAAACGCTTTTTGCGATGCAAACAATCAGTCGACACAACGGCTTCCTTCAGATGTAAATACTAGTGTGAAGTCCAGCGACAGTGGGCTGGGAAGTTTAGAATATAAAAATAATGACCGAAGTATCAGCTCTAGCACCACATACCGTACAATAGCTGGACTCGACTATCCGTACGGGAGGCGGAGAGACTGGCGTCCAATGAGATCAGCAAACTACCTAGAGCTCATGAAAAGAGGGTACTGTAACTGGGTGCCCAAATACATGTCCAGTACCCCGTTAAGTAGCAGCAGTGGTGACGTCACATTCACGAAAAGAACGTTTGACATAGAGAACAATCCAAAAGATAGTCTCGGTTGTGAAAAAAGAAATAGTACTACTAAGGTTAACAGCGTTCTACAAATGGCATCCAGTGAACCAAACAATGTGACTCCAAGAAACAGTGACGTAACTGACAAAGAAAAAGTCGGAGAAAATCCCAGTACATTTAATGATGACGTGGTGATACCACAAATATCTGACGAACTAAATTCTGGTACCGCAATGGAATGGCGCTCACATAACCGTCTCAATCCGACAGACTACATAGAATTGTCTTCCCTGAAGGTGGAGCCCCCCGCCACGCGGTACCCGCCCTGGTTGTTCCCGGATTTCTACAGCAGTCGGGCTAACGAGGACGAGTACCCGGATGTGTTTGAGGAAAAACATCGAACAAATAAAACAGAGACATCGTTTAAAAGACAAGTCGGAGAGTCGTGCGTCGAACCCTGCGAACAGTGGCAGTGGGGCGTGGCCCGGACATTATGGCAGGGCTGGACGTTACCGGGGCTTAGCGAGGAGGTGGAGAAACAACTGGTTAACAAACTTGAAGGTAAAGTATACATTTTTATCATACATATTGTAAAAAGTACCACTAGGGATGACCATTAAGTTCAAAATCGAGGGAGAGGGGTTTGAACTAGGAAAATATGATAAAGCGAGAAAATCTATTTTCCATACCAAACAGTCTAGGTTACAGTGTATATCTTTACAGTTTGGGCAAAACTGTGATTGTTACTTTTTTCCTGCTTTAAAATGACATGGAAGCATTATTAATGCCACTATTTTCACAAATATATCAACAATTAATTATCCAATAATACAAAAATTTGTGGAATTCTATATTACAAAGTGACTTCATACTTGTCATGTCTTGCACAGATGGCTAATGTTTAAAACACATCTCACAGTTACTGTTTGCAGTGTTTGCAGTAAGTAGTGCCGAATACTATAAATAAGTGTTCATATGACGTCGATGTATATTTCCGTCGGGCTAAAGCTCTCGTTAAAGCCCTCGTGAAATATATCCATGCGCACTGTACACTCGCGCAATCTGATACGTCAGAAAAACACATTTTTATGGCATCGCTATCATTAAATAATACCTACAACTGTTCTTCAAATGCGTCTTCTTTCCGCCTGCATTTAGCAAGGATCACCAACGCTCTGTAGTAATGTTCAATTTGCTTCCCTGTAACTAGAACTGAACAACAATGGCGGGTAAAAAACGACGTTGCGTAAAAAGCACTTAAATGTTTGGAACTCATTGTTTTTTCAATTTGTCGATTTGATCACAGCATCACTATAGTACGATTCACCAGAAACCAGCATGGATTTTGTGCTCAAGTCTTATTTCTTGTTCCAGTTATAAATTATTTAAAAAAAATCTTATTTTGTTAAGGTTTTGGACAAAAATTGAAGAAACTTGAAGCCGAATACTGTTTTCAATATTTAAATTTGACTTTTTGATCGTTGACATGATTAAGGTGGGTTACACGAAAGCTGGCTTGAGCACAGAATCCATGTTTGAGCATGAGAACGGTTTCATGACTACGGGCCAATGTTCATGAGACCGTTTTCAGGCTTTAGCATGGATTGTGTGCTCGAGCTGAATTTCTTGTTCCCGCTATTAATAAATAAAAAATCTCAATTTGTCAATGGTTTGGAAAGACATCGAAGTGACTAACAGCTGAATACTGATTCCAATGTTTAATCCTAACTTTTTGATCGTTTGACATGACTTAAGCGAGTAGCAAGAAAGGTGGTGTGAGCACAAAATAAATGCTTGAGAATGAGAACGGTTTCATGAATTTAGTAAAATATGATGTATATGCCCTAAATCATACATGAAGATATTTGCAGCCCGATCTATTGTTTTTAATTTTCCAAAACGTCCCTTAATTTGAAGGGTTTTTTTCATTTGAAAGTTCAGGAATAATTCTTTGTCTTAAGACTAGCAATGCTGCCAAATAGAAAAGAACTTAGGAAGTGAATGAACATTCGTATAAAATAATCAATGTCTGATAGGTCTTAAGGCTGATATGTTGATTTACCAGAATCCCATTGTTTAAATGATTAAAATATGGATTTGTGGTAAAAGGTGTTGTGTGATATATAGAGGGGCTGATGAGTATTGTTACTTTGAAAATGGATATACATGTATCATTTGTCGTTATAGTAATGGTTGTGCATTTGAGACCTTATCTGCCCCGATACAGATTAAGAAATACAGGAGAAAATTTGTTTTTACTTAAGTTTGCAAATGACAAGGTTTTGTTATTAGAATATGTGGAGGAATTACAAGAAATGTACAAAACAAAGATAATTGAGTTTAAAATCGGAAAAAGAAATAAAGCCTGGACTGAAAATGGTTGTTCGTCAGATGTAGTAAATCCGTCTGATTATAATGAGGATTTACTGAACTATGATACGCGTAGATGTATATAAATGTAGGAACATGTAACTAATCAATTAGAAAGACACGTTTTTCTCGTTTAATGACTTGCATTGTGAACACAACACAAGAGTCATGTTTTAGATATTGACAATTTTAGATTTTAAATTAAAAAATGGAAACTTGGCTGAGATTTCCAAACACCGTCTACACTCTCCAGGTGTTTAGTTGTTATATTGTTGTATGTTCCAATATACACCATGACCTGTATCAGATAAGTGACTTAAAAGAATCAAGAACTTGAACATGGAATTTAGGCAGGTTATATGTAAATGACCGACCATTTTTAACAGGCGGACAATAGTATTTGAATAAATCAACGATAATCACAGATTAACTTTTGGATACTACACCTGTTTGATCGCCAAGTCTTTCATTGTGTTTCCCGGTTGTTATCCATGTAGTTCAAACGAGTAGAGAACGGACCCAATAAACGACCATACCTGCTCATTAGTAAGTCATTGGTACACGGTGACACTGACGTCATTTCCGGCATGTCAGCAGAATGTTACTTATCCTTTAAGTATGGTACGGCTCCACTTTTACAAAACACTGACATTTGTTATAAAGTCTATAGCTATACAATTCATAGTACCGCAAATGTTACACGTGTTTTGTAATACGAAGGCAAAATATTTACAAAAATCATAATAGTCCCAACAATAGCTTACATTGATTTAGTTTCCTTAGCCTAAATGTATACAATGGGGCTTGACACGTTCCTATGACCCAGAATGAAAAAAATACCCCATGGTCCGACCCCCAGATCACTACAAAAATACCCCATGGTCCGACCCCCAGATCACTACAAAAATACCCCATGGTCCGACCCCCAGATCACTTATTATTGTCAATAATAAGTGATCTGGGGATCGGACCATGGGGTAATTATTTTCATTCTGGGTCATAGGAACGTGTCAAGTTCCTGTNAAAACCATGGTCCGACCCCCAGATAACTTATTATTGTCAATAATAAGTGATCTGGGGGTCGGACCATGAGGTAATTATTTTCATTCTGGGTCATAGGAACGTGTCAAGTTCCTGTGAATGTATACGTATATAGGTGAGGTTTAGTATAGTGATACTGTTTGTATTTGTGAGGTTTACTTTGGTGGTGATTATGGGTGAAATTTACTTCGTTGACACTGCACTTATTGGTTAATTTGACTTAAGTGGTAGTTGTGCGTATGGATACAGCTTACTTGGTGGTAATTATAGATGAAGCTTTCTTTGTTGACTCTGTACATGAGTTAAGGTTACTTTGGTGGTATATGTAGGTGAGGTTTACTTGGTGGTAATTATAGATAAAGCTTACTTGGTGGTAATTATAGATGAAGCTTTCTTTGTTGACTCTGTACATGAGTTAATGTTACTTTGGTGGTATATGTAGGTGATGTTTACTTGGTGGTAATTATGGATACAGCTTACTTGGTGGTAATTATAGATGAAGCTTTCTTTGTTGACTCTGTACATGAGTTAAGGTTACTTTGGTGGTATATGTAGGTGAGGTTTACTTGGTGGTAATTATAGGCGAAGATTATTTTCGTGGTAATTATGTTAGATTAGTTCCAGGCGCTTACCTGCGTATACGCTGGTACGCAGGTGAATACACCAAATTTTCAAACAGAAAAACAGAACAAAAACACTGCTTGTTGTTCCTCGTTCCGAGGCCCCGTCCTGTACCCGCTCCTAAATGAATCCACTCAGAACAAGGGCAAGCTACATCCCTGAGTTTTCTTGAAATTAAATCATTCCCTTACTAACACAAATGAGATGTTTTCACCTTGAACTACGTAACGACAATAGAAATCGTTGTTACTTGAAATCAATAATTGACGACGAGGCTTTTATCCCAACTACTCCAAGGCAAGGCGGAACACGAGTACGTGATGACGTCACTAACTGCAGAATCAAAGTCGAGGCGGTTCGATCTCATGAGGAAGAGTAATACGACTTATGGCCAGGGGAGGAATCGTGGGAAGTGTCGATGGCAAACTTGCGAGAGATCTTAATAAGTGTCGAATTAGAGCATGAATGAAGTCTAAGATATCGAACTATTCGTTTCGGAGATATTGATAGAAGTGTATCAGAGAGATAGAGAGAAGTGTTGGGGAGGAAGTTGTGAGAAGTATCGAATGAGTAGGAGGAAGGGTCGAGGGAAAGATTTGTTGCGGAGAAATTGGGAGAGGTATCAAGGACGAGATTTGGCGAACTGTTAAGGAAGAGATTTGGAGAAATGTTGAGGGGGAGGTTGTTTTGGAAGAAGTGTTGACAATGAGATTTGGAGGTGTGTTGTTGGGGAGTTTGGGAGATGTGTTGAGGAGGTGATTTGGAGAAGTGTTGAGGGGTGTTTGGGTGAAGTGGTGAAGGACAGATTAGAGAAGCGACGAGTAATAGAATGAGAAATGTGTCGGTTGACATATTAAGAGAAAGTTCGAAGAGAGATTTGAATAAGTATTGGGCTGCGATCGGGAGGGAGAGAAAGAATGAAGTTTGAGGAAGAGATCGAGATATGTGTCGCTGATAGATAGTGAGAAATGTCGAGGTAAGACCAAGAGTGGTGTCGAGGGACAGCTTGATGTCGAGAGCGTGTCGAGAGGAAGGTCGTTTGGAAAACCTTGAAAATGTGGATCTAGTACGCCCTCTCTGAGCTTCCTCCTCAGTGAAGATGTTACGCAGTTGTGTTTGTCTTCTGTTTGAATAAATACATCTGGTGATTTTAAGTTGATTTGATACATGGAATGCAGAACGCGCTTGTTGTAACCGTATACCCACATGTGCGTGTAAAATACAGTCGGTTCTAATTAGTGAAACTATAACAACTGCTGCTAATAGCTTACCTACTTAAGCACAATGCTGGATTATGTTTTAAACAGTGTTAGCGTGTGTATCTCTTAACTTCAAGAATGTTAACGTGTTTACTAACTTAAAAATGTGTCGGTGCGTTGAGAACCATCTCTTGAAAATTATGTAATGAACTGACTGGGGAATAGGTTGGGTAGGAGTCAACGGCAGCCCGGTCGAGATGGTTAGACCTTCGGAAGGAAGACTGGAAATGTCCCTCGCCGGCCGTATGGTCGGGTTGGATTAGACGTGAG